ACTTGCTGGGGGAAGTGAGTGAGAGTGAGCGAGAGAGGAAGAGAGAGAATGAATGCGAGCGAGCCAACCCTCTGGGAGATGGCCACACTGCAACTCCTTCTTCATTCTCCTCCTGGGATCTTGGGCACACAAGCACACACTAGGCCTGATTTTCAAGCCATCAGGTGTGGGGCCTGAACTGCGGCTGACTATGTGGGAGTCCAGCGACATAACCACTATGCCACCTGCTGGCCCTAGACATGTTTTTGAGTGGCACACCAATATAACACAAGACCATGTGAATTACTACCCTTTACAAATTTAGTTTAATTACCATTTCTCTAATGTTTTTTAATGACTAATGTGTTAATTTTGAATATTAAGATACTTCTAATTTTATTATTTTTTTAAAAAATTTATTGCTATAGGGCATGTGTACTCGTCAGAGTGGGTAGGGGGAAGAAAGTATCGTACAGGAGGGATGGCTAAATCACAGTCCCTTCTGCTCCATTCTCTCGGGAGAGTGCACATACACTCACACCTGGCGTGGTTTTCAGGCTTTCAAGCCACCGAGTCTGGGACTCAACTGCATGGTGGACCATTTGGGATCCAACTGCCGTAACCATCACACCACTGACCGGCCCTTAAGTTGCCTTTTAAAGTGCGTTTTTTAAAAGCATTGTCAGGTCCAGCACTGTCATGCAAGCCGGTTTACACTGCTGTCTGACAGGCCGAGGCATGTTGGCGGCCTGGGCTGTTTTCCTGGCCCACTCAGTGCTGGGTGCGGAGAGCTGTAGGAGGCTGAGACACAAGGCCGGGTAATAACCTGTCTCGGCTGAAAAAACATTTTCAGAAAATTAGTCTTTCTGTCATATATATACAAAATATTTCCCCCTCATAGTTAATTTCTTATTTGGATTTATTTATGGTATTCTTAGCCTTTAGAAATTTTTGTTTTGAAATCAAGTTAGGCTTATCACTTTTATACTTAGGGCTTCTGGGTTATTTTAGACATATTTCATAAACTCCACTCAGATTGTGGAATATGCACTTATATATTCTAGTTCTAGCAATACTTAGTCTGCATTTTTGATTAATATAGGATTATTTTTGAGTTTAGAGTAAGATATGAATTCAAATTAGTTATTTGCGCCTTTTGGCTATTCAAGATTATAAAATCTTAGGTATGAGCCTGACTAGGTCTGACTCCTAATTTCTTCTACTACTGTTATATAATCTTGGAAAAGTTGCTTATCCGGTCTGTATCCATTTTATTTACCTGTTAAATGGAATTGAAATTTGATATAAGTATTTAGTGTACTAACTGGTACATGCTGTCTGTTAATTATGTGTTGTACTGTCTAGTGGGTAATCTTACCCTTTCCCCTAATCTCAGTGCTTCCTGTCATACGTTAAATTCTTATATATATGTGGATCCATTTCTGGATTTTCTTTTTTTGCAATAGGGTGTGCTTGCCAGAGAGAGGGGAAGTGAGAAATCACCTTTGGGGGATGACCACTGTCTTCTCCTCCATTCTCCTCTCAGGATTTTAGGCCTGCATGCACACATGCCTGGAGTGATTTTCAAGGTGCTGGGTCCAGGACTTGAACTGTGGTCGGCCATGTGGGAATACAGTGCCTTAAGCTCCACTGTCTCCAGATTTTCAGCTTTTACCAATAAGATGGTAAGAACTGGAGAAAGGAGAATTGAAAACTCTTGGTGTTTGGGGACCAGGAGAGGGCGTAATGTTTACATTGCTGCACTCCCTCTCAGTTGACCACAGTTTGAGTCTCGGACCTGGCGGCTTAAAACTCATGCAGGGTACATGTGTGTTCATGCCCAGATCCCGTGAGGAGAATGGAGAAGGGTTTGCTGTGGGGCGATTTTGCACTTCCTGCCTCTCTGTCTCTACCGCAAGTGCATGTGCCCTATTGCAAAAATCTCTTAGGAAAGAAAAAAGCAGAAAACCCCATGTATTTGTTGCAGTAAAGGGACGCTGAAATGAGCACACAGATCCCCGCAGAGGCTGCCTCCTGCTGTGGCAGTAGTCAGCTGCACTCTCACTCTGCGGTGAGTTCCGTCTTGTGAACAAGAAGCTTGCGTTATTGTTGGGTTTCTGTGGCTTACAGAGTTGCAGAGCAGAGAATAGCTCCAGCAGGTGAGCTAGACGGGAGATTATTCTTTTTCCTTTTGCCCACTTCAGAGTCATTCAGATTGTTGCCTTTTTTTTTTTTTTGTCCTTAGTGCCTGACTTAATTAATACTGTGTTAGAATACTTTTGAATGATCTGGAAGGACATTTTAATCATTACTATTTTTTTTAATTTAAAAAAAAATTTTTCAGAGAGGTTTTTGCTATAGGTCACGTGTGCTTCCCAGAAAGACAGAGAGAGAGACAGAGAGACAGAAAGCGAGAAATCACCCCCTAGGGGGGATGGCCACGCCGCAATCTCTTTTCCTTCTTTCTCCTTGGGATCTTGGGCACACATGCACATGCGCTTGGCATGAGTTTAAGTCACCGGGCCCGGGACTCGAACCATGGTCGATTACATGGGAGTCCAGCGACATAGCCATTACGCTAACTGCTGGTCCCTGGAAGGACATTTTAATCATTACTATTTTTTTTTTAAAGAGTGTAATTTTTTTCCGGCTACTTTCTTACTAATTTCCAGATGCCTGTTAGATATACTTTATTGATTAAAAAAAAAATTTTAGTAACTAAAATTGGGCATGGGGTGAGCCAGGTGGCATGGTGATTAAGGCAGCTGGATCCTAACTGGCTGAGTACATGGTTGAAGTCCTAGACCCGTGGCTTGGAAAACATGCCAAGTGCGTGTTGTATGGCCAAAATCCTGGGAGGAGAATGGAGGAGAAAAGATGGCGATGTGGTCATCTCCTCTGGTAGAAGCTTCCTCTCTCTCTGTCTCTCACTCTCTCTCTCTCTCTTTCTTTCTCTCTCTCTTTCTCTGGCAAGCACACATGTACTATAGCAATTTTTTAGAAAAAGTGTAAATTGGGCTTGTGGTAGGTGGAGATTGAATAATTTTCTTTTGGAGTTACTTAAGTTAGTATCAGAATTTAGGAGTGGAAAGGAAACTTCCAGCTCATCTCTTATAACTACATAACTTTATTTCTTTTTATCATAGAAGATGTAAACGTCGCCCTGGAAAAGCCCCGAGATCCCACCTGCCATCACCCAGCAGCAGTGGCCAGGGCCGTTACTGCTCATTTCTCCATGGTCCTACCTGTGCTGTTCTTGTGCCGGGTGCCTTACACTGACATCCCCAGCCCATTTCATCAGTTTCTACAGAAGATAAGGAGTCCTCAGACTCAGCTCCAGTACGGCTGGCGGATCTTAAGAGAGTTAGCAGCAGAGGGGCCGACTGGTGGCATGATAGTTAAGACCAGTGCAGCCCACGTGGCCTGCTCTGCAGTTTGTGGCTGACTATGTGGTTTGAGTCCCACACCTGGCAGCTTGAAAAACATGCAAGGTGCATACCCAAAATTCCACAAGGAGAATGGAAAAGAGGTTGAGGTGTGGCCAGCCCCCTGGGGAGTGCTTTCTCATTTTCCCCTCCTCTTCCTCTGGCAAGTACATGCTCCCTGTAGCAAAATTTAAATGAAAAAATTAGTATCAAAATTATCAGTTAGATTTTCCTTATTGACTAATCATCTTTCTCAAGTTTATTCAGTTAAATCAGGATATAAATTAAGGCTATCCATTGCAATTAATTGATATATCTCCATTCTTTCTTCTTGCTTTTTTGCTTTCCTCTTCACTAATTATTTGTTGAAAAACTTGATTGTCTTTCCTGCAGCTTTCTACAGTTGGGATTTTGTTCAGTTTATAACATGGTGGTGCTTAACATATTCTTTGCCTCCCATTTTCTGGGAGTGATAGTCTGGAGGCACATGTGGGCTGGGTTAGTTGTTTTTGTTTTTTTCCTGGTGATGTTTCGTTGTTAGGGATATGTGCTTTCATTTCTAGGATGAAATCAGGAGGGTTGAGGCCTGCCCTACTCCACTGGGAGTGCTCTCTCTCTCTCTGAGTACACATATCTTCTGGCAATAGAAAAATGGAATTAGAAATAAATGTATGCAGAAATTGTTGTATAAAATTTGTATAGTTTAAAATGACTCTATACAAAAATTGTTTTTATAAAATTTGTATAGAGTTTTAAATAAATCTATACAAAAATTGTTTTATAAAATTTTGTATAGATTACCCAATGCCATGCAGTTGGCACTTGGTAGCTTCTTGGTCTTGCTGTGTATTTGATAATAAATTATTTAATAATTTCATGAACTATCATTTCCAAGTAATATTATCTTTTCCAATCCTCCAAGATAATACATATAGGTTTGTATTTACCCAGAAATAATGTATGTTCTTGAAGCCAGAGTTCCTTTAACCACAGCATTTTACGGGATTCCTGTGGACTAGAAATTAATGTATTTAACAGGATGTTTGCATCTTTCAAGTGGAACTTGCAAGCTGGACATTCTTTAAAAAGAAAGTATTTACATAAATGTTATATTCATAGCTAGTAATTTTTTGACATTAATTCCAATGCTGGAAAGCATTTTTGCTTGAATAGAACTTTGCTCCGGGAAGACACATAATGACACATGATCTTGCATTCTTGATAGCAGAGGTCTGCTTTAGTGAAAATTATTCATGAACATATTTAATAATGCAACTTTATTCCTCATAGCTTTGTTTCTCTTTTTATCTATTCGTTTCTAGACAGGCTCTCACTCTGTCTTGATCTGTTGCCTCAGCCTCCTGAGTAGCTGAGACTACAGGCACGCATCACCACACCATGCTTTTTAGGGTGACCTAGGAGTGGAGCCGGGGCCTCCCCTGTGGCCTCAGCCTGCGAAGCAGCAGCATCCTGGGCATGATACAAGCACTCTCTCTCTATAGTTATTGTAATATTTCATTTCCTTTCAGTTCGTTATAACAGTTAAATAATTTAACTTAAAGCATACTGAGAAGCTATCTTTCACGTTCTTTCTAGGAGGTACTGGCCACCATTAGGCTTCTGGACGTGCTGTGTGAGATGAGTGCTAATACTGAGCTACTCGGCTATCTCCAGGTGTACCCCGGCCTGTTGGAGAGAACCATTGGTGAGTGAACGTCATGGCTTTGCAGTGAAGAAATCTTGGACTTGTCATGCTGTACTACATATCCAAACACAGATGCTGAGTATTTAGTGTCTTCTTATATTTTTGTGACTTTTTTTCCTAATACTTTTCTTGTGAGGAGTCCTGGTGGTGTAACAGCTCAGGCTTTAGAGCCCACGCTATAGTTGTGCTGCTTCTCTTCTGTTTGCCTCGGGTTACCTTTACAGTGGAGCTTGCATACTGGGAGTGATGTCAAAAGAAAATATGTCCGTAAGTGACCTACGCAGCTAGTAACTCCCGGAAATAATCCCTGTGATGCAGGGTGCACCGAGTGGGTGTCTCACCAGTAATGGCTTTGACGATGGCGATGGTAGGGCGAGATTTGTAATGATGATGGTGATGATTATATCACTGTAGCTTTATGAAATGTATTAGTAAACTTTCCCCAATTGTATTAATCGAGCATCTAGAACAGTGCTTTGACATGCGATGTGTTCAGTTCTTAATAGAAGCTGTGTTATAGGAAACTCATTATTCGAAGTGTTGCTGTTCTTGCTGCAAAGTTCATGGCAGATGAATTCAAGCAGAGCCTGTTTCTTGTAGTTAGCCATGTTTAGGTGCTGGCTATAAACTATTCACTGTCTTTTCTCTTAAAAAGATTATACTTACATTGGAGGGGGGCCAGGAGGTAGTATGGTGGTTGGGGCACTGGACTCCCACATGGCCAACCATGGTTCGAGTCCTAGACCTGGAGGCTTGCTTTCTTACTCTCTCTCTTTTCTCTGGTGACAGCATGTGACCTACAGTAAAACTAAAAAAAAAAAAAAAAAAAAAGATTATGCTTATACTGGAAGCCAATATGCTGAGAGAGATGACTTTGTCTATACAAGTGGAGATGAAGAAGAATGTATTTAAATTCTTTTTTTTTTTTTAAGAGAGTTTTTTTTGCTATAGGTTGTGTTCACTTGTCAGAGAGAGAGAGAGACAGAAAATGAGAAATCACCCCTCTCCGGAGGTTGGGGGGGAAGGTTGCCATACCGCAACCCTTTTTCCTCTTGGGATTTTGGGCACATACACACACGTCCGATTCGTTTCAAGTTGCTGGGTAACAGACTCGAACTGCATTCAGCTATGTGTGAGTCTAGTGATGTAACCATTACACCACCTGCTGGTGCCAGGATGTATTTAAATTCTTCATCAGTGTTTTATTTTGAATACAGTGCTTTTAGTGTTAAATAAAACACCATGATCCTGGAATACTGTGAATCATTGTGGGAAGAGCAGGAGTTTGGAGTCAGGGTACATGCGACTGGCCGGCCCCACTTCTCTGAGCCTGATTTCTTCATTATAAAATTGGGAAAGTGATCTCTATGGGATATAGTGTTGTCCAGAGGGTTAAATGACATAATGCGGAAACACTAGGATATAGTTCCTGGAAGATTGTCCTGTTTCCACAGGGTGCCTGGAAGTATTCACAGAGTACGACAGTGTTAAATTAGGTCTTCTGAATGTAGCTGAAGTGATTGATAGAGGGCACATACTGCCTTCTGATCCTGAGGCCACTGAGGAGGAGGTTGCGCACTCCTGGATTCTGTCATACAGGTCATTCCAGGTCAGGGTTGCACTTTAGGCGTAGCTGACTGCAGCTGTCAGATGGACTCACTAGTGAAGAAGCCAGGGTTAGAAACTTCTTTGTAAGAGAGACACTGAGAAATATTTAGCTAACTTTTTTGGTTAGATAAATAGGGAGTCTAACCTGGGATAACCAGTATGAGTCATCTACCCAAAACGAGAGTAAAAGAAATTTAAAGCAAAGGCAGAAGAATGTTCTTGTACTTATTTAAAGAAAACTTCTAGTACCTTATCTTTTTTCTGATTCCATTAACATAAATCAATTTGTTTATGTAAAACTTAGTACAAAATACTGAAACTTATTTTTTTATGGAAAATTAATTTTACTCTTCATTATAGATGTTTTACGACTGATTCACGCGGCAGAACGAGACACTCCGAACATCTTCACCACCACTGGTTGCATAAAAGAAGGAGACATTTCAAATATGGCTGAGGGGTTTAAGTCTCATCTCATTCGTCTTATTGGAAATCTGTGCTATAAGAATAAAGATAACCAAGACAAGGTACTTAATAATTTCTTTGTATATATCATACATATATGGCTTTACTCAGTCTGTAGTTTTTAGAATTTATAATACATTCACCTTGAAATGAAAGCTTGAGGTGCTTAGAAAATAGCTTGAGAGATTTATTACATATGTAATATATATGCAATATGTTAAAAATATTTTTTCCTAGAGATAACTATAATATGTTATGTTTGTAGTAGGGTTTATAATTTTATAATATTTTGTCTTTTTCCTCAGTGCTTCTAAGCCGGTTTCCTTTCTTGTAAAGTGCCCACGATTGTCCTGAGTCTGCGCATCTGTACACACTCAGATACTATGTAGAGAGCAGTCAATTAAAACAGGCATTTCCAGGACCTAGGAAAAACTTCTAGCACATTATAGACATTTAATAAGCAATAATTATTATTGACTATTACCTTTTGTTATTTGGAGAGGTTTTTGCTATAGAGCACGTGTGCTCACCAGAAAGAGAGAGACACAGACAGAAAGCGAGAAATCACCCCCCAGGGGGGATGGCCATGCCACAATCCCTTCTCCTCCATTCTCCTCTTGGGATCTTGGGCATGCATGCACACGTGTCCAGCGTGAGTTTAAGCCACCAGGTCCAGGACTCGAACTGCAGTTGACTAGGGAGTCCAGCAACATAGCCATTACGCCAGCTACTGGTCCCTTGACCATTATTTTAAAAAAAGACAAACTAAAAAACCTTAACCTTTGTCTGTAGTCTACATTTAGGGATGATAGTATCGTAAACCTTTCTTTCTGATTGCTTTGAAATGGACATAATAGTGAAGTATTAATAAGTCTTTGGAAAATCAATGGATTGCCCTTTTTAAAATTTGCTACAAGGCACGTATGCTCACTGGAGAGAGACAGAGAGACACCCCAATGGGCAATGGGCATGCTGCAATCACTTCTCCTCTCAGGGTTTTGGGCATACATGCACACGTGCTTAGTGTATTTGTCAAGTCACTGGTTCTGGGACTTGAACTGTATAGTCATCCATTTGGGATCCAGTCTCCTTAACTAGCACCCCACTGGCTGGCCCATTAGGCTGTTTTTAGAAACCTGTATTTTACTGAACAGAGTAGAGGCAATTATATTGATGATGTGAGAGAGTGGTAAGAAAAATGGCAGGGAAATGGGACTACATGCTTTACACCGTTCTGGCCTTACTGTATCTTCCTGGAGCTTTCCTTTGGGTGGTATTTATTTTGTTTTGTCAAATACTGAAAATGTCTGTGGCAGAATACCTGTCATTTACATGTGTTTCTGCAGTGTGGCTTTGCCATTTCTGTCAAGTGTTAGCATCTGCCCTCCACCCCTTTGAGTCTGGGCAGGCCCTGCGACCGTCTCAACTACACGCGGAGGCAGCAGTCCTTTGCCATTTCTGTCACAGTCATTAACTGACCGGGCAGATTTTCTTTCTGCTTTTTTGAAGCCCGTCACCCTGGGAAGATTGCAGATCCCCTAAGAGCACTTTGTTATGAGCTGTAAGTCCAAACGGAGAAGCCTAGGAAGGTGGAATACGAGGGAGAACGAGAGATGAGTGGGAAAGCACCAGGCACCAGACGTGTGCGTGAGAAACAACTCCACAGAGGTTAGGGAGGAGACGCCTGAGGAAGTGCAAGTGGACCCAGCCTCCCTTTTGTCCTTGCCTGGCTGATACCACACAGGTCAAGGACACTACCTAACAAAGCCCCTTCTGACTTCAGGACCCACAGCATTGTGAGAAAAAGTGAAAAAAAGAAAAAAAAAAAAGGAAAAAAATAGGTTGTAGGTTCTTGCTTTTTAAATAGCCTAGTCACCTACTATTGGACTGATCCTCTTGCGAATAATTATAAACTCTGGACAAAAGTGAGCTATGTGAAGTTACTCATCTTTGACACCAACAGCAGACTCTGGAGTCGGACTGAGAGTTGGAAGAAGGGAATGGCACGGTGTGTACCGTGCGGGGCAGTTAAAACTCTTGGTGTATCTGTGGTCTTTGAAACTTGAGTAAGCGAACAGTTTGTGGGCAGCCAAAGGCAATGGAAAGTGAGGGAGGAATCCCAGAATGGAGAAAACAAGTCCCAGATTCTGTGCGTCGCCTCTGTCATCTCTGTCAATGCCCAGATCACACCTGCAGGAAGACTGTAAGCAGCTAAGCTAAGGATAAATGACCGTATTGAAATTTGAGTTGCCACCCAGGTTCAACCAAGGTAATTGTTTGCTAAACCAAAATATCAGTACTGTCCAGGGGAATGTCATAGGAATTTCCATAGCATAGGAGTCATAGTATCCAGGATATACACCAAAACTACATGACATATCGGAAAATGTGATCCATTCTCAAGAGAAAAGATTGTCAGTGGAGACCGAGATGACATAGGTGTGAGGCTTAGCAGGCAGGGACTTAAAGTTGCAGTGTTGACTGTGCCCAAGGACGCAAAGGATAGTGTGTTCCATATAAATGAAAAGATAGAATATCTCAACAGAAATAGAAACTATAAAAAAAAGAACCAGATGTAAATTCTAGGACTGAAAATGCAGTATCTAAAAAATACTGCACGGGCTTAACAACTCCATAGAGGAGAAAGAGGGAAGAGTTGGTGTGCTCGAAGATGAGGTCGTGGGAGTCATCCGGTCTGAAAAATAAGGGGAGTGAAGGTCGACAATAAAATGGACATTCTAAGGTGCTAAATTTGGGGGTAGTTTATAATGTAATTGTTGATCATTGGGGTGACTCTTGAGACCTGGCCCCGAACCACACTCTTCCACTGTGTGCGTGCCCATTTGGCACTTTTCATTGTCGAGCAGATATTGCTTAATCCCCCCTTGGAAAATTTCTGGACTGATTTTCGTCAAAGAAAGTTGACAGAGAATAAAATATCTCATCATTTTTATGACCAAGACTGCCTTTCTTGAGCACAAAAGAAGTGGTTTTTCTGGGGTTTATTCTTTTTGTTGCTAATTTGGATTGCCCTCTTATAGAACAAAGCGTTGTAACCCTTAAAAGGCTTATGAAGTCCATCAGTGAAGTCAGGATCAGATTGCACGCTAAGTAAATACTGGGTATACCCAAGTACTGCCGTGTGGGGTCACTGGGCCACAGGAAGTCAGTGCTGCGCTTCGTCACTTAGGCAATTGCTAATAGCACTGCTGAGTTCTAAGCAAACACTCCAGATAGTATGAAGGAATTCCTTCCTCGAATAGGAGAATATCTCTGTTTCTCGTGTGTGTGTATGTGTGTGTGTGTGTGTGTGTGTGTGTGTGTGTGTGTGTGTTAAACCATTGTCACCAAAAGGCCTGAACTTGAAAGCGTAACTCCCGGGATGTTTTCTCCTCCCAACACCAAAAGCGTACTCGGGATGCGTTGGTGGCTGCTCTGTTCTTGTAGCCAGGCCCTGGCCCTGCTGGCTGTCACCGACGCTTGCCTTGCTCGTCATGGCCTCAGGTGCAGGTCGCAGCACTGCTGACTAGTTACGGGTCATCCTAGTGGGTAGTTACGTGGCAAGTCTGTATCGTTGGGCTGGGGGACCTCATGGTGTTTCTAGATCAGTTGTCCCACTCCGCCCTAACTGAGCCCGTCAGGGAAACGTGGCTCTGCCCTTGCTCCCAGCCTAAGGGTGAAGTGGGGAGTTCTGTGTTGTCTAGCCCGTTGGAGACTGACGTCCCCGTTAGTGCCCGCCATCTCCCAGCGTTATGCTTCGTGAATTACACGTACTACCAACTTCAGCTTTTGCATCCACCTTGCAAGGAGATCCATGCATTAAAGAGAGGCCTCTAGTCCATGAGTTACAGAGCCCAGAGTAGCGTTTGGATTTGTTTGCTATGAGTTCTTAGGCCTGTGCGCATTCTGTTGCACTGTGGTGCCTCTCACTTGTGAGCTTTTCAAGAGTTTGGAGGGAGACCAGCAGTTAGCATAATGGCTATGTCGCTGGGCTCCCGTGTAGTCGACTGTCGTTCGAGTCCCGGACCCAGTGGCTTAAACTCACACCGGGCACATGTGCGTGTGTGCCCAAGATCCCGAGAGGGGAATGGAGGAGGAGGGATGGCAGCATGGCTATCCTCCCGGGGGTGATTTCTTGCTTTCTGTCTCTCTGTCTTTGTGGTGAGCATACATACCCTAAAAAAAAAAAAAAAAACTCTAAAAAAAAAAGTTTGGAGGAACAGGCTTAAAATAGGCTTCCTGGCCTAGAGGGGCTAAAAGGACTTTAGATTGGATGCTGGAGGCTGGTAGTCCGGGCCTCCTCTGCCAGCCAGGCCCTTTGGGCTCCCTCTTAGTGCCTGTCTGGAGCTCTCGTGGTCCTTGCATCTCTGTTTCAGATTCATCCATCATTGAATGTGAGTGTTCGGCCTTGGGGATCCTTTGATGGGTAAGGTAGTTGAGATCTCTGCTCCAGTGAGGTGGCCATTCTCGTCTCTTCGCACCATAATCCCCACATTTTCGTGCAGGAAGTTTCCTAGACCCTTTGTACCCTGCCTGATTTCCTCCGACGTGAACCAGAAGCCTGTAAGCCCAGCAGGAGCTCTGCGCGTGTCTAACCGAGCTGACTGCAGTGAGCAGGAGCCCAGCCGCCGCACGAGTGCTGCTCTTTCCATTGTACCGAGTTCTTTCCGGCGGCCTCAGTCCTTTAGAGCCTTCTGACACTTCCATGAGAAGGGCGACCATTTCTTTTTTTCCTTTTTTATTTCCTTCCTTTTTTCCCTTCCCGTCTTCCTTTCTTTCTTCATTGCCAGAGGGTAGTGCACTTGCCAGAGTGGGAGGGGGAGGAGAAAGCACTCCACCCCCCACCCCAGTGCGGCATGGTCACACTGCAATTTCTTCTCCATTTCCCTATCCTGTCAGGATTTGGGGCATGCATACATATGCACATTTTCAAGCTGCTGGGGACCACAGTTGGCTGCCCACATGGGATCTAGTTATCTTAACCAGCAGGCTGTGGGGCCAGCACTCATATCACATTCTACGTAGAGACCCCAGGGCTCAGAGAGACAGAGATTGAGCTGAG